TATATATATATATATATATATATATATATATATATATATATATATATATATATATATATATATATATATATATATATATATATATATATATATATATATATATACGCGCACACACACACACACATACATACATACTCGGTATAATTGGAAAAATAAAAGTAGAACGCTCATCTCGGAGGCCCCGCACCTCGGTTGGATAGTACTCCCTCCGTCTTATAATGATCTTCCCAGAGCACTATTTCAATTTCACGGGAATTTATATTTATTTGTGTTTTTTCATGGCCTATATGATAAAATACAATATTCTTGTCACCACTTGTTTTGTTGAACTTTTGATGTAGTTTTTAAATATGTATGTTTTATTTTTTATTTCTATACCAATATTTAAATAAAATAGATTGAAAAAACTTGAGATTTTTCTTCGTTTTGCGAACCGGGAAGATCATTATAGGACGGAGGGAGTATAATACAGAGTAATTAGTAAGCGTTTAAAAGATCTTAGTTTGATCTTTTTAAAGAGGTCGTCACTGTGCCCGATGTGCACAAAGAGTTATTATACTCCCTCCGTCGCTAAATATTTGTCACACTTGTATTCTCGAGATAAAATATCAAATTAGTATAGAAATAAAAAATAAAATTTACATATCAAAAAACTACATGAAAAGTTATTTAAAATAAGATGTGTCAAGAATATTTTATTTTATCAAATAATTAATGAAAGGAGTATAAAAATTCTCGCGACTCCTAAAAAAGCAAGTGGCAAATATTTTGGGATGGATGGAGTATTAGATAAAACTCTCACTCTATCGTTGGGAATTGCTCAGATTCGATACCGAGACCTCGAGCTTGACATCCTCCCTTAGAACCCATCTAAGCAAAAAAACTCTGCAAATGTACTAATCTTAATCTGGTCTTTAAAGAGTCCGCGAACTCCTTATAATTGAGAGTTTGAAATGAGAGAAATATAATACAAGTACCTCATCTATCCCATGTTATTCTTCTAGTTTAAGTTTTTTGTATTAATCCATTTTATACGGAGTATATTTTTTCCCCTTGCTATAAATGGAAATAGTATTCATAAATTTTCTTACAATTAAAAGACTATTTTATCGTTATTTTAACACTGCTCCACATTTATATACCTCTATTCAATTTACTACACCATCAATAATAAAAACGGAAAGTCAAATATTCCCTCCGTCCCATAAAGTGTTACTCATTTTGACTAAAGTTGAAATTAAGGAAGGGATAATTTTGTGTTGACTTTCCAAAATACCCTTAATGTGATGGGTAAAAGTATGATGTGATGTGTAGATTATTACAAAAAAGGTATGATGTGATAGGTAGGGTTTGAAAAAGTAAGGGGTAAAAGTGGTTTTTAATAGAAATGGGTAAGGGATTGTGGGAGACAATTTTTTTGAAACGTATAAATCTTTTTGGGACGGAGGGAGTATTTTTCTTATTTAACATTAAATAGTCTGTTAAATTAAATACTTTTAAAATATTGAAAAATATTTATTCAATTTTATCTCTAAGGATCGAGGTTGTAATGTTGTATAGTACCAATAAAATTCAATTAATTTTTTAGTCTATGGTTTCAGACATCATGAAAACCAAACCAACTACTACTATACCAACTACGCCTCAGGTTGTAATGAAACCCAAAATCAGCTCCTTCCAATTTAATTTATATTCCCTCCGTTCTAAAAAACTTTTCCTCTTTTATTTTTTTACTTTCAACAAAATACTTTCACTTTCTATTAAAAAAACCATTTTTACACTTACTTTTTCATACCCTACCTATTACATCATATTTTTTCTCTAATACTCAATTTATCACATCTTACTTTTACCCATCACATTAAGGGCAAAATTGGAAGTCAACTACTCCCTCCGTCCCAAAAAGTTTGTTACGTTTAGAAAAAACTGTGTCCCGTAAAGTCCGTTACATTTCTATTAAAAAACCACTTTTACCCTTTACTTTTTCATACCCTACCTATCACATCATACCTTTTTTCTAATAATCTACCCATCACATCAAGGGTATTTTTGGAAAGTCAATACCAAAATATCTCTCCCTTAATTTCCCAAAAGTCAAACCGTCCCATTCTTTTTAGGACGAAGGGAGTATAATTTAACACTTCCTTATTTTTATAAAAATCAAAATAGTAACACTTTTATAGAAGGGATGGAATAGATCCCATTTTGTTATACTACAAGAAAAAAACCATTTTAGGACACATGAAAAAAAAAATCTCCCAATTTTTGGAAGGAATACACATATGTACCTGAATAAGGAGGAGAGGGGCGCCGGTGATACCGTCGGAGCCGGGGACGTGATACTGAAGCTTCTTAAGATACGGGCACGGCGACTGGACGAAGCGGCCCAGCTTCGCCAATGCCACATCAGCCTCGGCCCGCACGAAGAGCGCGCCTTCCCCGTTGCAGTCCACCACCAGCTTCTTGTTGGGCCCCTCGAAGAGGCGGCCCGCCAAGGGGTAGTAGAACACCAGCGCCTTGGCCAGGCCGTCCTTCACCAGGGCGGCGGGGTCCACGTCCCGCATCGACGGCCTGGCCTCGTAGAACCACAGCCCCGGCATGTGGTACCGGAGGCTGGCCTGGTCGTCGATGTCCGACAGCGGCTTCTTCTCCCGCGGCGTCGCCTCCTTCGGCGTCACCAGCTCCGCCTTGCACAGCCGGATCGAAAATCTCGGAGGAAACAAACACCCCATTTGTTTTTTTTATCTATACGTAAGAGTTTTGGTTGTGTATGTAAGTGGATGAGGGGGTGATGATATTTTCAGTGGTATTTATAAGTGCTTAAATGGGTACGGAATAGGGCTAGGACTACTCCATCCTTCTTTGTTAAATATCTCTTTGATTTTACGTGTCAAATGTTTGACAAACTATATAAAAATATGTAGGATAAATTAAAGTATCGAAAAACACTTTGAATTTATTATCTTTTATTAATTTTTTGTTAATATATTTTAAGAAATATTATTGACCAAATATTAGACTCGGAAGGAAAATGAATCAGTAATAAAAGGGAATAAATGGAAGGAGTAGATATTGAAGGGCAACGTGTTTTTAGATAAGTGTCGGGTTAAATTTCCTCCGGAAGTGGTCTCACCATCCTAAACCAACCAAACACCAGACGGCGCGTTATAAAGACTGTTTGGTGACTTGCTAGCTATTAGTGTTTGTAATGCGGGTGGACATAGAAGAGTACTATACTCCGTAAGGGATAAATTCGGTATCAAACTTTGACAACAATGAGAGGCCACAATGTATAGCATGGAATTTCCTGCACGTCTGAAGAACATTGACAATGGAAAATTGAACGTCCTATAGTGACATGAAACATTTCAATTAATAAAAAATAGTTCAGTCAGCGTGTGACAAGTATGTTAAGTCACATACCGTATAGTGAGAAGTCACTTTTTGTGGCTTTTTATTTTTTTTGATGTGTTTTAATCACTAATTTTACATCTTTTTTTATAAAGAACGAAAAATAAAATAAAAAAATCAAAAAGGAAGGGCGGGCCTACCTCGCGCATGAGACGAAAAGGAGAGTGATTTCCACGGCCCAGCTCCCTGCCTCACCTCACACCCGATTCCCCACCCCCACCGGCCAACGCCCACCCCATGCAAACCCGCTCCAAGGCCGGTGTCTTTTGCCCTAAACAAATCCTGGATCTTCACACCACCACATCCATCTCCCCCTTACCCCCAACTTACCGTAGTGCTATGAAAGATCCAAACTGGCATGCTGCTATGTGTGATGAATATAATGCATTGTTAAAGAATGACACATGGGAACTAGTACCCCCCTCCCCCACCCAAAACATAATCACCGGTAAATGGCTTTTTAGACACAAATTTGGCCCGTCCGGTGAGTTATCCAGGTATAAGGCCCGATGGGTGGTTCGCAGATTTAATCAGCGTTTTGGCGTCGACTACATCGAAACCTTCAGCCCCGTGATCAAGCCTGCCAGGGTCCGCATCGTCCTTAGTCTCGCATTGTCTCGTGGGTGGCCTATCCATCAGCTCGATGTCAAAAATGATTTCCTCCATGGACAACTTTAGGAAACCGTGTATGCCAGCTTGCCTTCAGGATTTCAGGATCCTTAACGACCTCATCATGTCTGTCGCCTCAAGAAAGCTCTTTATGGCCTGAAACAGGCACCCCGGTCATGGTATCACAGATTTGCAGGTTTTATTCAGACTATTGGATTTCGCGGCTGCAAGTCTGACACATCACTTTTCATCTTCACGCATGCATCGGGGACCGCCTACCTCTTGTTATGTGTTGATGACATTGTTCTCACTGCCTCCTCGCCAGCACTACTACAGAGTCTCATTCAGAAACTCAAGGCTGAGTTTGCTATGACAGACATGGGTGACCTGCACTTTTTCCTCGGCATTAATGTCCATCGCACAGCTCAGGGTCTTTTTCTTCATCAGACACAGTTCACCCACGACATTCTTGAGCGGGCAGGGATGGTCTCCTGTCGCCCCATATCCACTCCAGTCGACACGAAGGCAAAGCTCTCCTCCTCCTCCGGCACGGCACTTCCCGATCCCTCCCTTTACAGGTCCATAGTTGGAGCTTTGCAGTATCTCACATTCACCCGACCTGATATCACTTATGCCGTTCAGCAGCTCTGCCTTCACCTGCATGCGCCTCGCGACTCTCACCTTACGGCCATGAAGCGCGTCCTCCGTTACCTCAGTGGCACCGCCACCCACGGCATCTACTTGAGCCGCTCCATGACTGACTATCTTCAGGCGTACTCTAACGCTGACTGGGCTGGATGTCCTGACACCCGACGTTCTACTTCCGGGTACTGTATTTTTCTAGGTGACAACCTAATCTCATGGTCATCCAAACGTCAGGCTACCACGTCACGGTCCAGTGCAGAGGCAGAATATCGGGTTGTGGCCAATGCTGTTGCAGAGACATCCTAGATTCGGAATCTACTCCTAGAGCTCCGGCAACCCCCACGGCGTGCCACCCTTGTCTTCTGTGATAATGTCAGTGCCGTCTACCTCTCATCAAATCCGGTTCAGCACCAGCGCACCAAGCACGTTGAGGTCGACATCCACTTCGTGCGAGATAAAGTCGCACTCGGCCACATAAGAGTTCTTCACGTGCCGTCCTCCTCCCAGTATGCCGACATCTTCACCAAGGGACTGCCTTCTTTGCTCTTCCTCGAGTTCAAGTCTAGTCTGGGTATCAGACCACCTCCACACCCGACGTAGCCGGGATCATGTTAAATATATTCTATATTTAATGTAAATATATTGTTTCCTATTATTGACTCCTACTTTGTATAGGAATAGGAATCTCATGTCTATATAAACACATGTACTCCCACATATTATTTTAATGAAAATAATCTTTCTACAGTGAATGCTCTTAGAGCATGAGCAATGAGAAGTAAATAAATGAAATGTCACATGCTTTGATTTGAAAATAACTTTAGTCAAAATCGTAAATAGAACGAAAGCCTTATTTTGGGACGGAGAGAATTTTCTTGTTAGGACTAGGATCATAATTTTCTTTACCTCCTATTAGGGGACTGATACAGGACTATATTTAGTTATTTACCATTCTTATTATATTACTATTATTATTATTTATGGTTAGATAATTTCATTATTGTTAGGAAGTATTATTATATTAGGTTATTAGTATTTTAATTTATTTAGTTATCTTTTATGGCTAGGACTCTTTAAATCAACCATCTATATATGTAGCCATTATGCATGAGTTTATTATTGAATCAATAAAGAACAATCATTTTCCTAACCCTAAACTCTCTCTCTCCTCCTTTATATTTGAAAACAATGTTTCAAGATCGAGGAATATATTGATATTAATTTTATATCATAATATAATTTTCGTTTTTCACATGCCGGAGATAAAGTTTATAAATTTTGACTAAAAAATCAAATAAGAAGAATATTTTTGAACGAGGAGAGTACTAAACTATACTATCTCCGTCCCAGTGTATTTGTCCAGTTTGACTTTTTCGAGTCAAACTCGACAAATTTTGAACTTCAATTACTCTCAATTTATATTGCACATTAGCATAATGAGATATAATAATTTTGAAAGTTTTCAATACGATAAATCCAATAAAGTCATTTTTATGTTAAAATATATTACAATTTTTATTTAATTGAAGCTCAATGTTTGTTCAGTTTGACTCGAAAAAGTCAAACTGGACAAATACACTGGGATGGAGGGAGTATTTAAAGATATGTACTTTATTATTCTAATAGTGAACGTATTGAAGTTATATAGACTAAAATTTTAAGCATACGTGATTAGCGGAGGGATAGATGAATTATTACTCTTAGTAAACTCTAATTAATTCTAACCCCCAACGAAGTGCAGTATTTATTTAAATTGTTTAAAGCATGGATCGATGAAGCCACCAATCAAGGATTAGCAGCCACTGTTCTGCATGCAATCCGGCCTCATTCAAGGTGGTCATGAATGTTAATTACTGCATTTCCATTATCATTATATTGATAATACGGTGGGGTTCTAGTGACACCGGATTACGGTGCCACTGGCATTTTGGGGTACCTCCGGTGCTCCATTCGCAAAATTGACGGTTCCATATACTTTCACCCTCCCTTAAATTTCTTTCCATTTTCATTTTTAGGAGAGATATTTTTGTATTAATTTTCCAAAAGTACCCGTAGTAAAATTACTCCGTAGTAAGATTGAAAGTGAATTTTAATAGAAAAAGAAAAGACTTTTTGTGACAAAGAAAAAAAGAAAGTTAATGAGACAGAGGAATCGAGAAATCATTATTACCTCCGTCTCAGTATATTTGTCCAATTTGATATTTTTGAGTCAAAGTGAATAAACTTTGAACTCCAATTGCTTTCAATTTGTATTTCATATTAGCATAATGAAATACAACTTTGAAAATTCTAAATACGATAAATTCAATAAAGTCATTTTTATGTTAAAATATAGAAATATTTGCACTAAATAGCACTAAAACCACTTAAATTATTTTATTCCCTAAATAGTACTTAATAATGTCTATATATAATGTTCAGTGATGTCGAACATTTACTTGAATAATGACTAAAAATGTTACATTGGGAAAAAACACATGTGATGTCATTTAGAAAGTCATTATGTTTTAGTGTTATTTTCGTAAATTCCCCTGAAATATATTACAGTTTTTATTTAATTGAAGTTCAAAATTTGTTCAGTTTGATTCGAAAAAGTCAAACTGGACAAATACGCTGAGACCGGGGGAGTATTACTCAAATGAGAAGTGTTAGGAGACTCCAAGATTATACACCAAATGCACACTAAGGTCAATACATGCACCCCAAGACATTTAATGTTTGTGCACACACACATTAAATGCGTGTGTGAATGAGTATTAGCTTTGATGTGCATTTCCGGTCAAAATCTTTCCCCTAACATTTTTGTACTCTAATTAGTTCTAACTCCCAACTAATAAGGTTTTGAATTGTCTATGGGCATCACATATGGATGAAGCCAGCCAGCCACTAATTCAAGGATAAATTAGCAGCGACTATTCTACATGCAAGCAAGCTTCATTGAGGAGGTCATGTGTCCCTTTCCACTACACCATTTATCCAGTTGGTATTCATTAATATATGTACTCCATGCATGAACTCATCTCACAACATCCTCTTAATATTTTTCTTAATGGATTAATTATATATTATCACTTTCTTGATAACAAAAAATAATATTGATAATTGAATAGTAGTCAGTGGTATCATAGTGACTCTTTTAAAAGTGGGGTCACAACTTCAGATGTGATGTGATGGATATGTTAATTTTTAACCTACTTATGACACCATATCTGTTCACAATTAATCTATCCATTAAATCTTATTTTTACTTATCACATCAAACGATATTTTTGAAAACTCAACACTTAAATACACTCTCCTTAAATGCCTTAAAACTATAAAATCTCCCATATTTTTAGGGATGAAAGGGGTATATTAATGTAGTCAAGTTTTGTCTATCTTTCTTTGACAAACATCACTAATTATAAGGCCTTGTTTGGGAGGTTTAGTCTGTAGGTATTTATGTCGAGGTGTGCTAGGCGTACACCAAGTTTGTACACCAATAAGTGTAGCACAGACCCATACAGATAATAATTTTCTCGACACTGATAATTATTATTTATATGTGTGTATGATATACATTTGGTGTACAAACTCATATACAAATTTAGGGTACATACCTCTAACTTTTTTTCATTTATATATCGTGCAAATTGATCGATAAATATCTAGGGGCACATCAACTAATTCAATGCACCACATTGTTTCTAAGGAAAATTAATGCACCACATCATCAATATCATCTGAACATTTATGATGATAACAATTCATTAGAATATCCATATCCTTTACGATGTTAAGGTAATTCAAAATATTTTCTGTTATATTTAAAAAACAATATCTGTTTTAATTTACTTTTTCAGAGAATTTCTTTGTTTTCAACTCATCAGTGTTTTAATTAGTTTAATTCACTTCAATTACATTAAGTTTAATTAATCTCTGCCATGCGCACCTTTCAATTAATAAAAATGCTTGGAAAAGAAATCTACCGTACATTCGTACTAGGAGTAACACGTAGAGAAAATACTAAAGTCGCAGGAGTTTCATATGTTTAATCTCATATGAGACTATTGCCTTGTACCAATTTTACAAGGCATATTGGTATTTCATAGTGTTCTTTATATTATATGTTGACATTGTAACTCATATATCTAACTATATACAATGCTAGGATGCATTTTGGAACAGTGTTCCCGCCCATTTCTTTGGGCCTATTTGGGCTGCCTCGGGCTGGGTAAGGAGGAGCTGTTGGGCCGACTGCTTTTGGCTGCCAATGGGACTGCTTTTCAGGCTGTTGGGCCGACTGCTTTTCAGCTTTAATGCATTGTCATTTTAATGCTTTTGATATAATTAAAGTGGTGCACTCTTCCATAAAGTTGATTTAGAAAATGTGTGGCTCCATAAAGTTATTTAAAAGGTTCGTGGCTCTAGAAAGCAAATCAAATACAATCCAAGCAATTAATGCACTTATGCATTAATATTGTTTGCGTGTGTATATATATATATAGAATGTTGTAATTGCTTGGCTATACACATCTCATACAACCGAAAATTCACAACAATGGCTCTAGCTCCACAAAACAACCACCGCTCAATGTTTGCTCCTATTTCCGACCTATACAACACTAAAAAATTATGGATTCTTATGTTAAGAGCTGTGCGTGTTTACTTTGTGCCGAGGTGGGCAAAAGGAGGGGATTCAATGGAGATCATATTTTACGATGAGAATGTATGGTATTCCCCAAGTATGGTTTTACTTTTCAAATTATTAAATCTAAATATCTCACATACTTTTTTTTTGAATAGGGAAATAGGATTCACGCTCATCTCAACCGACCGGAAAGAAGTAAATTTGAAAAGCAAATCACCGAGGGTGGTGTTTTTGGCATTCGAAATGTGTTTGTTCATAACAATTATTAGAGTTTGAAAACCACTTCAAATGATAAGCTTTTGGGATTTTTCCAAGACACCGAGGTGAAAACTTTGTCTCGGCTGGATTTCCCAAGCTTCATGTTTGACTTGAAGTCATTTCGGTTATTCAAAGCCAACCGTGTTTGAATGATCAGCTCTTGATTGGTATTATTTTTTAAAAAAAATTCGAGTAAATGTTATTTGGTAAACGTCATAATTAATCGGAAAACACGTAACCCTCTTTATAAATCACAAAATATTAACGCAGACGTGATTGGAAAGATAGTTGCTCGAACAAGTGTTCAAACAAACTCAAAGAGAGGCTTCGAACAAAAATTGATGGAAGTTACTCTAGAAGATCATGAGTATGAGTTAATAATTGCAAAAGATTTTTAAAATAAGAAACTGCACATTCGGCTATTGTTTATGATACACTATTACAGGGGGAATCGTTTGGGTTGCACACTATGGGGAGAATACGTGGACCGTTTCATGGATTGTTTGACCCAAAACAACCAAGAAGCGGTTATTATGCTTTTGAGCTTTTGCCGCCCAAGACGCTATATGGGTAAGCAACATTATTTTTTTTATTCATTCTAAGTTATTTTAAACATGAACAAAACTTAATTTGTTTACCCATGATTTGTAGGGACTGTTATTTTAAAATGTGTCTTTAAAATAAAAAATACGCTACTTCTTAGAATTAGAATTTTGTTTTAAATATACGTGTGTGTGTGTGTG